GCTCCAGGTCCTGGGGGCGGGTGGGGCTGGGGGCAACTTGACCAAAGCCCACTGGGCTGTCTGGCCCCCGGGACAACTGAGCACCTACTCCTCCCAAGTATGAGCCTCCTGCCCATCCCTTATCCTGTGCTCTGATCTGGCACCCAGCTCCCCTCCCATGCACTAGGGGCCTGTTCTCTCAACAACCTCAGTGCCCTAGCTATCCAGTGGGGGCCCTGTTGGGATCACTCATTGCAGGGGGAGGTGGAGTTTCACATCACCGACTCTCCTCTTGTGTCCCCCTCTTCCAGGGGGCTGTCACCACTGTCTCCACCAGAGGAAAGGGGACTCAGAGGGGGCAGGTGACTTGCCCAGGGTCACACAACAAATGAGCAGAGGCTGGTATTGGAACCCAAGTTGGAGAGACTCCCATGAACATGTGCCAAATCTGACCAGCTGACTCCAGCATTACCCACCCCCACCGTGGTGCCAGCTCCCAGGTGTGAGCTGTGCTCTGTCTGTCATATTGTCATGTACCCCGGCCCCCTGCCTCTTTCAGAGACTGAGGTGGAGGCCACAGCCCCAACCCCATAGATGTCACAGTCTGTTCTCCTGCATCTCCTAACAGTGCTCAGAAGTTAGACAAGGGGGCCCCAGTTCACACCAGGTGCCACCCCTGGCAAGGAGCCAGCAGCTACTCCAACGTGGCTTCCCTGCTTTCAAAGAACCTCCTCTACCCAAGGTCCCCCTCCGCCCACGCCCCAGCTTCACTAAAGACAGGGACCTTCAAAAGACGGCAACTGACAAATTTATTTAAGTCTTGGAAAAAGCCGATGGTCAGAGAATAAATAAAAGACACGGGACTTTCACAGAACCAACAGGTAGCTTGGGATGCAGGTTTGCAGGAATGATGGACTCCCAGGCCGCCAGCCTTTGTCTGGAGAAGGCAGCGGGATGTCTGATGGAGGAGGCAGGGCCAGCTCAGAGGGTCTCCGCCCCCAGCCTTCTCCAGCTGACCTCGGGCCCAGGGCAGTTAGCGGCAGCTGGGGAAGGGGGGGTCGGGGCTATTTGGCAACGGAAATGGGTGGGCTAGGCGTGGCCCTGATGCTGAAGCTTGGGGGCAGCTGTGATGGGGGAGGGGATGAAAACTTAATCTGTGCTGGGAGGGAGCTCTTAGTGGCCCGGAAGGGCTGGTCTGGAGACAAGGGCCCCCCTGGGAGTTCTGTCAACTCCCTAGGGTAGTGGAGTCCGGCAAGCCAGGAATGAACTAGAGCCCTGTGCCCCAGGGAGAGGGGTGAGGAGCCTCCTGGGGAAGGTGGGGTTCGGTGGCAGGGAGGTTCCCAGAGGCTGCAGAAAGGATCCAGGTGTGCCAACCTTCCCACACTGCGGCCTCCCTCCTGGAAAGATGAGGCCCACTTCTGACCTAAGAGGGGGCCGGGCCCTACACAGCTCAGACAGATGGAGCCTGGGACATGAAAGCATGAGCAGTAGTAGTTTTTAATTTTGGAAATTAAAGCATTTTCCAGCCTGGCTGGACTGAGCTGGGCTGGGCTGGGGAGAGGCCCCGAGTGAAGGCCTGGCCTAGGTGGGATGACATTTCATGTCTAGAATCAGCAGCAAGCCCTCAGTTAATCGGTCAGTAAAGGGAAAACTCTGCTTATAAAACAAGGCTTGCTGGATGCCCACCAGGCGGGCCAGCCCTGTGTCCCAGGATGAGCAGGCATAGAGTCCTTGCCCCAAGAGTGGGGGCTGAGGGCTGGGCGCTCGACAGCAGCCAGCCCTCCATGGACATCTTCATCTTGTCCCCCGCTGGTGGCACCTGCTTCTCGAAGAGGTCCAGGGCTTTGGGAAAGGAGCATGCAGCTCCAGGCCACCCAGCCAGGGGCAGCACCGCCGTGGGCCAGGCCCTTCAAGTTCAGAGCTCAGTGGAGCTGGGAGCCTCCGTCAGAACTGAGCGTGATCCACCTCGTCCAGCCAGGAGGCAGGGCTGGCGGGGAAGTCTGGATAGCCCCCGCTACTCCCTGTGGACAGGTCGGAGCTGGGTCCATTCCCTGCCACCACCCTCATGGGCGGGGGCCCACCCGGGGCCCCCGTGGGTACGAGGCCCAGGCCAGCATCAGGGTACACCAAGCTGGAGAGGAGGGGCTGGGGGCCGGAGAGGCTCTGCAGGGCAGCCGGGGATGGGGGGACGCCATAGGGGCTGCCAGGACGCAGCTCACGATACTGCTCTGGGCCTGGGCCGGCCAGGCCTCCGTGCTCCAGCGGGAAGCTGCCTGGGGCTCCTGAGGGCCGGCCCAAGGCTGGGGTGGGCTCCGCAAGGCTGCCATAGAGGCCGTTAGCAGGGCCTATCTCGGCCATGGACGGCTCTTCTGCAATGGAAGCAGAGGGCGATGGTCGGTGCCTGCCCTCCTCCACCTCTGGACTCCCTCAGTGCCACTCCTGCAAGGGTGACCTGCCCACGGCACAGAGCAGGCCAGCCCAGGTCTCTTCTGCTCTTACTGCCCCCTGCTGCCCCCGGCACCTCTGCTTTTGGTCAGCTCAGTCCCGGTGTTTAAGGAATTGGGGATTCCCTGTTGGGATGGTGCCAGGAGCAGTCCAGTCAGGACCCAAGGTTCCCAGAATGACCCCCAAGGCTGCCTTGGGAAGGGTGGCACAGGTACCACCCAGCCCCATTTTACTTGAGGCCGAGAGGTTGGATGAGTAACCTAAGGGCACAACGCGGCCAAAAGGAGTCTCCTGATGGACATGAAGGGGTGGGGTGGGGGTCCCCTGGTGCAGGAGGATGAGACCCTTGGGTCCCACAGAGGAAGGTGCACCCACCCAATGCCAAGCAGCCAGGACTTTTTAATCACTGACTTCAAAATTATGCTGTCCACTTCCCCAAAATCATAGCAAGGGCCGGGACCCCCCCCC